TAAGAGTTTAAACACAATTTTGTCAAGCATATCTGATTAGAAGTTATATTTCTTCACTTAAAATTATATTTGTATTAAAATTTAAATTTCCTCTCTGACTTTGTAAAGTGATCTTGCTAATCTTGTTTTTATTAATTCATTATTATTTATTATGTGGTGAAATCTCTTTTTAGACTGAGACAATTTTGTTCTTCTGCAGCAGTCTTGTTTTTTTAAACTCCTCTCTGATTTGACTCCAGCACAATATGAAGTCTAATTTATTCAGTCGCTCCCTGAGAGCAGGACCCACATCTGTTTTGCCCTCGTCACTGCATTCGCATTGCCCAAATTAGTTGCCCAGACTTCCCAACAGTGTGACTGCATGTGACTTGTTAAAAATAATGGAGCCACATGAAGGTGTAAGAAGGTGTTTTCTGATAATCCACTGATCTTTTTCCTCTCCTAAGTGTTTCAACGATGTCTCTAGCTAACCACTGGAACTAAGCTGGTAAGACGAGTAAAAAGCAAGAATCAAAAGTAGAGGAAAGTTGAGCTCTACAGCCTGCTCAGGCTCCCCTCTGTACCCCATTGTCACTGTTTCCCTAAGAATGAGTTAGGATACACAGTCGACCATAGTACCTGGGCCATGAGATTCTGTATCTTTGTAGAATCTCCTTTCCTTCCACAAAGCTGGAAGAATAAGAATGCCAAGTTTTCCTGTCCTGAAAGAGCCTGGGTTAGTGACATGAGCACTGGTTGGCAGGGGAAGGTAAATACTCTCCTCTTCAGTCAAATGGCAAATGATTTCTAGTTGGCTTATGTTTATTTCTATCATGTGTTTAGCTCTGGACTTGTCTTTGTCATAGAGACAAGGTCCCTTACCATTTTTACTGGAGGTCATTTAGGCTTACGTCTAGTATAGGCAATAGGAATCATCCAAAAAGATCATCCCAACTCACCAAACACTGTAGTACAAGGCAAAAACCTTACAGTAATAATATGAAAGGCTACCTAAAATGTCACTTCTATCAAAAGTTCAGAATTAACCACATCTTCTTGAAGCATACTGACAAGCTTGCATCTCTATATCATATTTATTTTGTTCAATACACTCTTATATCCTAACTATATTAGACACTGTTCTCATACCTTTACAAATACTAACACATTTAATTCTAAATTATTTAATATTATTACTCCCACTTCAAAGATAATGCATTTGAAGTTCAGAGACATCAAGTCATTTGTTCAAGCTCACAAAGCTAATAACTGGTAGACCATGTGACTTCAGCACCTGTTCTCTTAACCGCTAAACTCTGCTCCTCACACTTATTATGTCTAGTTGTAGTGTCTATACTCATGTAATTTTCCCTGAATTTCCTGATTTTTTTCCAAAGAAGACTGTCAAGTGATACATCTCTCCCCTCCTTTCTCAGAAATTCTGGGTTTGACTAAACTACAGGAAATTATTCTATTATTATTAGTTATGTTGATTTTTCATTTAATGGAATAATAATAGAAGGAATAACAACCAAACTATATTGAGACTTACTATATCTTAGGCCTAATATTCTAATATCTAAGATTACTATATTCTTATATATTACAGATACACAGTATAAAAAGGGTTCTGGACCTAATTCCACTTTGAGGGGGGTGGTTTCCCCAAACCAACCAATAAACAATTCTTAAACACTAGCTGGGTGTCCTACAATTCAACTCAATTCTGACACTATCTACATGGAGAGAGCATCAGGTCTCACAGGTTAAGGGTGAAACCAAGCAGGACCCTGCAGGGCCCTCCCAGGTACAAGACTCTCCATGTCCCCACTTCTCATCTGTAGAAATAGCTTTAGTATCCTAGGGCTTTCTCAAACTGGTAACGACTAGAGACATGAAAAAATGCAGAAACAAAGGAAAAGCAATTAAGCAAGAAAAGTAATAATAGCTTGAACAACAGAGTCACAGACTCCTAGTTCCTCCTAAAGGGATATAGATAATAACATGATTCATATCCTTGAGTTGTTTTACAGAAACCAGGACTCCCACTAAACAAAAACTGCTAACCATAAGCACATAGATGCCAGACTGGTAGGAACCAGATTGATGATTAAGATTCCCAAAACATCACCTTGTTACCTCACCACCAACCAATCAGAAGAATGTCCATGTGCTGATCAGGTACCCTGTGACACTTGCCCCTATGTTGCCTTTAAAAACCCTTGCATGTAAGTCATCAGGGAGTTTGGATCTCCTGAGCATTAGCTGTCCAGTCTCCTTGCTTGGCAATGTGCAAATAAATGCTGTACTTTCCTTCACTACAACCTGATGACAGTAGATTGGTTTTGCTGCACTTCAGGCAAGTGAACTCAAGTTCAGTTTTGGTAACAAGGGCTCATTTCTACAAGAATGTCCCCCCTTTCCTACCCAACTTCAGAGGTCAGTCACAAGTCCAGGTTGTTACCTGTAATTCTGACAGACTTCTATAAATCAGAGGTCCCCATGACCACTTTCTTGATTTTGATTAACTTCCTAGAGCAGGTCACAGAACTCACAGAAAGATTTTACTTACTAGAGCACCAGTTTCTTATAAAAGGATATAACTCAGGAACAGCCAGATGGAAATGATGTATAGGACAAAGTATGGGAAAATGGTGCTGAGCTTCCAAGCCCTCTTGGAGCATGCCACTCACCTCACATCTCCAGATATTCACCAACCCAGGAGCTCTCCAGAACCCCTCCTGTTGGGTTTTTATGGAGGCTTCGTTACACAGGCATGATTGATCAAATCACTGGCCATTGCTGATTGACTCAATCTCTAGCCCTTCTCCCCTCCCTTGAGGTCAGGGGGGGAGGGATTGAAAGTTTCAACACTCTAATCACACATTACTAATCACACATTAGTTCTCCTGGCAACCAGCTCCTGTCTTTAGGGGAGTTCCAAAAATCACTTTATCAACCTAATGAAAGACACCTTCATTGTTCTTACCACTTAGGAAATTCCAAGTGTTTTAGGAACTGCATGTCAGAAATGGGGATGAAAACCAAACATATATTTCACACACTGTATTTTGTAATTCTCACAATAACCCTATAATATTAATATTAATACTCCATTTTAGTAGCAAGATTTGAACCTAGCTCAGGCTCTATGCTATGTATATATGGTGACCAATATGCTATAGGGCCTCATATAAAACAAACATTAAGCAGGCAGTCTACATTTATGCATTGATAATTCCTCAGCATGTGAAACTTGGAGATGTGCATGGCTCTGCAACTCAGGTCTCATACTTTTCTGGCATTCCAGAACCCCACTGAATACACCTACTCTATCATTAACCAAAATTTCAGAAAGAGAGACCTGATTGCGGTTTGTTAGGATTGCAGCCTGGGAGACACAGATTCAAGAAGCACTTGAATTGTGTTCCACCAGACTACAAAATAAGGGAAGCTTATAAAGGCAAAAACACCTACAAGGTTACGTAAATTGTTTGTCAAGAATTAGGATTGGAGCTGGCAAGATTGCTTGTTAAGCAAGGATTGGTTGGCCTCTAAAATGGTTACATAGTTGCAAAGGGTAGAGGAAACTTTGAAACTACAGGATGCAGCTAGCAGATATTGTTTTGAAAACTGGCTGGTGGTATTCTTGAGTCTAATACAGTTCAGAAAAAATTCAAGTTCTCAGTGATGCAGGAATGTGTCTGAAACCACATCCACAATGGCCACCCAGCTCCATTTTGGATGCCTGAACCATAGTTACTCTGTTTTGATTTTTAAATGATCTTAAATATGTCATCACCACCCTCTACAAGATGCTGCCCCCTCTGCTGGCACCAGATGCTCTCCTGTGTATCTGCCTTGGTATCTGCTACAGAGGCCTCCTTCCAGATACGAGCTGTGGGCTATGCTATCCTCACAGGCTGCTTAGGTATATCTTTTAATCCACAGGTCTGCATCAAAACACTTCTCTCAATTTCAAAGGAAGTAAAACAAAGGATATTAATTCATTTGGAAATAATTTTTCATCTTTCTCTACTCATTCTCTTTTCTTCACTGGACAAAGAATAATGTGCTCAAGTATTGAACTAAATTTACCCCAACTGTCTCCAAATTTAATTTTTAGAAAAGAGTCCTCAAAAGCAACTCTCTTCTCTTTAGCTTTATTATAGGAAGTCAGTATAGTCTAGTGGCTAGGACCTGGAATCTGGAATCAGAAATTTGGGGTTCACCACTGACCTTGGACACACTAATGAGCCCCTGAGAAAGCCTCATTTCTCTCATGTAAAAAAATGGAGATAACGGGTAACAATACCACTCTCCTCATTGAATTGTTGTGAAAATGAGACCATCCCATTGAAGCGTTTAGCATGTTGCTTGGCTTAGGCTAAGTAGTGACTAGCAATTAGCTGTTGTCTTTGCAGTAGCCATTTTACATTGCATTAGAGTCAGTCATCCTGTCCATATACACACTAAAATTACCTGGGGAGGTTTAATAACTACTGATGCTTGGGTCCAACTACCAGGGATTCTGATTTAGTTTATTTGGGGTAGTCCTGGGCAACTAGGTTATCAGAAATGTTTTTTCACACAAGCCCCAATGTACCATTTTGTACGTGGTAGAGGCATGCCTTATGAATAAACCTTAAATAACATACTAAGCTTACTTTAAAATTCTAGCAGTGGAATCCAAGCACTCAGCTATCTTTACCTGAGTATTGGAAGGTGGTTATTTTTTAACAAATGACTAGCTTTCAGAGAGATAAACAAAGAAAAGCAAGGTGGTGAGAGGGACCTGTCTAAATTATTACATCACCCAAACACACCAAATCAATCAGTCAGGTGATATATCCTTCAGCAGGACCACATTCATAGCTAATGGATAAGGATTCTGAAGTATCCTAAAATGTTACTCCTGGATATGTTATTACTTAGAATAGTCATGGGTCATGGGTAGTTAGGCGGAAGGTCTGGAATTCTAGTGTTATAAAACTCGGTTTCTCATTTGAGTCCCCACTTGCCTGTAAAATCCTGAGTAAGTTGCTAATCTTCCTTCAGGCTCAGATTCTTCATTTGCAAAAGCAGATGAATACCTATTTCACATGGTTCCTGAAATTATCAAAAGAGACATTCAGTGTTAACCATTTTTTTCATTGACAAAGGTTATACATATTAAATCTTTTTTTCACTGTAGTTATATTCTCTGGCCCTCTAGTCTTCCACCAGTCCCTCTTCTTCTCCATAATTAGCTGTTTATGCCACTATTAAGGATATTTTCCTATTAATGTAGATGCATCCCTGACTTCTGACTCCCCAAAGGTCAGGAACTGGCCTTAGTTCTGTATTCCAGGAACCTAGCTCATTATCTGATCCATAAAAGATGTTTAATAAATACTTGATGAAAGAATATATGGAAATCAAGAAGCCAGAATTATGAGCAAATAAATTTTTACCAAGGTCAATTCAGTGGGAGAAAATTGTCAGACTATGAAAAGCTATGTAGGGAGAAGCAACTCCAAGCCTCAATTTAACTTCCCTGATGTTTAACATTGACTATTGTTTTGAAGGTAAGATTTTAGGAGCTGTCATATTAGACTTTCAATTCATTCAAGTCTCATTTATTAGGTGTGATAAAACTCAGGATTTAAGACCCTAGATAATTAACCAGGTGTGCTTTCAATTTCAATCCCCGTTACCTACAAATATTTGAACTAGCATTTAATGTTTATTTTGAGCTATCACTGCTATTCCTGGACCTTTGTAACTCAATGAGTTTCATTTCCTTCCATCTTAACCAAAGGAGAAGCGCTGACTCTCATCAGAGGAGCAGCATTTCAGGTCAAACATTCCATAACTGGAATTAGAGTTAATGTAAATTCATTCCTATGTGACTTGCATTCCCCCAGTAAACATTTATCATCTACTGCCTCTGACCTTGAACCACTACATGCCACACTGAGGCCAAATTATTGCATTAGTTTTTTTATACTTGAAATAAGTAGAATTTCCATCTCTGGCTTTATTTCCCACTCCTTGATATCATAATATTATCCAAGTTAGCTTTATAATGATGAAGAATTGAATTATATGGTACAAATGAACTTATTCGCAAAGCAGAAATAGAGTCACAGATGTGGAGAACAAACTTATGGTTACCAAGGTGGGGAAGGAGGGGTGGGATGAACTGGGAGACTGGGATTGACATATATACACTACTATGTATAAAACTGATAACAAATGAGAACCTACTGTACGGCACAGAGAACTCTACTCAATGCTATGTGGTGACATAAATGGGAAGGAAATTTTAAAAAAGTGGATGTATGTATACGTATAACTGATTCATTTTGCTGTACAGCAGAAACTAACACAACATTGTAAAGCAACTATATACTCCAATAAAAATTAATATAAAAAAAGAATTGAATTATAACCCTAGGCTCAACATAACTTAGCTTTGCTTTTTCAGTTATATCCTAGATCAGTTGTTGAACTCTGTGTCTTCAAATCATCTGGAGGTCTTATTAAAATGCAGATTCTGATTCAGTAAGTCTTTGATGGGGTCTGAGATTTTGAATTTCTAACATGCTCCTAGATAATGTTGTTGAAGCTGGTCTAGGGACCACATTTTCAGTAGTAACGTTCTAGATAATTTCAATTCACTATAATTGTTTGAACTTGTTTCTCTGCATTCCTTGATTCTTTAGCCTCTTATTACAGTCATTCACTTATCCCCTAGACTCATACTTAAGAAGTTTTCTCAGGTGTAGACCTTGGGCCACGTAGTCAACTACGGCTTGTATTGTTTGTCTCAGCTCCACAGTTAGCACCTGGAGTACCCACACCTATCAGCCTTATAAAAACCTACCTGCAAATAGAGTTCCCAAAAATAGGGACAAGAAGTAGACATTCAGCAACAGTGAATGCTGAGACAGATCACTTAGAGTCCCAGATTCTCTATGTGTTTCCTTTGAAGCAAGAGATAATTTTTACAAACATTCTCTGAATCCTTGAAAAAATGTGCACTGTGTTTTCAAACTAATGAATTATACTATTCAAATTATAATGTATGTTTTGCTTTTAAACATATTTATATATTCAAAATTTTCATATCAATAACTTTGTTTTCAGTCATTTTTTAATTTAACACTTTAATATTTTTATATTTTGATATTTGAAACTTAAGAAAATGAGCCACTTGATACTGTGTTCATCTGTTGTGGGTATTGGAATTATTATGATTCCAATTATTATGATTGTATGAAGGGGTGATCTCCCTGAAAGGCTATTATCAGAGTCAGTTATCTTTGGAACAGGCAGTTCCTAAGATAAGGGACCAGGAAGATAACAGGAAATGATGAATTATCAAGGCAGAATATAGAAAAGAGGCATAACTCCTAGCAGATACCTCTCTAAGTCTTGATTTCTTTAATTGGGACTTCTAATATAAATATGCTTTAATATTTTGTTCTATGAGTTAACAACCTACATGTTACTTGCTATATTCCCTTTTATCATTACTTCCAGTTTCATCTTTAATAAGTCCTTATTTAAAAACTTTAGCTTGGTTTCAGATGTACAATGAGGAACAATGAGGAAACTGTAAAGCAATAGAGGCTTGAAGCTTGGAGGAGGGAATACAGATTTGGGAGACTTCAAGGTCAGAGATTCTAGTTGTGACCCCAGACTTCAAAAGCAGGTACAAGGATAAGGAAGCTGGCAAGCATAGTATCTCACCCAATGACTTGGTTGGTGATGGATGCACATAAGCAATCTAGTGAAGACTCATAGGACATCCATCATTCTTAACCCTAACACCGCAGATAGCATGTGTGCTACCCAAGAACTTACGTCTCTCCAGCCCCTCCCACGTATACATAGAAAAGGGAGAGGGAAAAGGGCAGAACTGATTCAACTTGTGGTCATGACTAAGAATCTCAAAGAGGCTGACTTGAAAGAGACTTTCAAACTAGAAGAGAGAGAGCTATGGGGGCAGTTTAATTTTTTCTTTCATGACTATGCAACAATAGACGATGAGGTGGATGACAGCAGTTACAGAAATAAGGTTTTCTTTGTATCCACATCTGAAACATAGTATGTATATCCCAATACTGCTCATCTTCTTTGATCACAATTAATATTAAAAACTCTTGTATTTGTTTTGATATGTTTATCACCAACAAATACCATGTTGCAAAATACTATTGCTTTTCTGTCCTCAACTGAAACTGTGAGCAGCATTTAACACATTTGATGACTTCTCCTGCTTAGAGAAACACTCTCCTCTCTTGGCTTTCATGATACTACCTTCCTCTGGTTGTTCCTTCTCAGTCCCTTTACTGAATAATACTGGTTGTCAAATCTGAATCTACTTCTTCTCTTACCCTGCTTATCTTCAAGATTAGAGGTTCTCAACTCAGGTGATTTTAATCACCTGAGGAGGTTTAACAACTAATGACCCCTGGGTCCAACCTCCAGAAAGTCTGATTTATTTGATTTTGGGGTATCTGGCCAAATAGATTAAAAACTGTCAGGTTACTGTAATGTGAAACCAATAATTAGAAGCACTTTACTAGACGTTTCTCCTATTGATAAATATAAATTTCTGTATTAGCTCCAGAATTCTTTCCTGAAATCAAGATTCAACCAACTGCCAGGATTCTGATAGTATGGCAGCTTATATTGGACTGTTTCCTGCCAATAACAATTAGAAACTCTGGACAAAGAAACATATCTATGTCTATTGCTACGTCTCTTCATATCAACTGAGAACAGGCAGAAACTGGAGCTGATATTACACTTTCCAGACTGGAAACACACTGGGTGAGATCCACATTTAACTGGCTTTTCCCATGATAGCACTCTCCAGTCTGCCCTGTGCACAGGAGATACAGTTCAAGCAGAAAACAGAAGTCTGAGGTCAAAGTTTGGGGCTGCTAGAAACTGATGAGGATAGGTAAGTGCATGAAAGGATGAAACCACAGAAGGCGTGGTCCCCAAATCTGTGTGTGAACTCTTCCAAAAATTCAGCTGCACATGTGTAGAGTGAGATTCTAATGAACTTAGTAGAAAACAACAGTTGGAAAGCTAAAACACTGAACAGGAATTTTAGTAACTGCCTGGTATTAGGGAGGTGCAGTTTGGAATTCGAGTTCTGCCTAATTAGAGGAATTAAATCTAGGGTTTGTAACTGATACTTCAGAAGGGCCACAACTTATAGTAGTAAAGACCATTCCCAAGACTAAAGTCTATGCCCTGAACTGAGCGAAAAATTCAATTACAATCACTCTAACAAAACTAAAAACAAAACCTTAAGATCAAGTTGGTCCACCAGCAGCTTAATTGCTTGCTAAATTAAAATTAACATTTTCCAGAGGAAAGTTACAGAATCCAAAGTCTCTGCAAAATATTATTCAATGTAAAATAAAATTACTAGAAATGTAAAGAGGCAGGAAACTGACATCTATATTCAAAAGAAAAATCAGCCAATAAAAGTGGACACAGACATAGCAGATATTGGAATTAGCAAACAATAAGTTTAAAATGACCACTATAGATATATTAAAGAGTTAATAAGGAAAATGGATATGATGAGTAAGGATACATTTCAGAAAATATGTGGAAACTAAAATTGAACCAAATGGCTACCCAAGAACTGAAAACTACAATATCTGAAATTAAAATAAGAAGTGCTTTCAGAAGAAATGTATCAGTGAAACTGAAGATAGGTAAATAGAAATTTCCAAGCTCAGACGCAGATTATTTTTAAATGGAAAAAGAAAAAATGAACAGAGCTTCAGTTGCTTGTCAAGTAATATCAAGAAGTCTAACATTGGAATGGGAGTCCCAGAAAAGGAGAAGAGAGATAATGGAGCAGAACAAACACTTGAAGAGATAAGGTTGACTATTTCCCAAATGTGATGAAAACCCACAATCAATTGACCCAGGAAATTCGGCCAGCTCCACGTAGGAAATATGGAAGAGCCAACTAATCATTTCACATTTGGGTTACTCATAGATCTTAAGACTAGCAAGTTCAGAATGACCTCTTGATATTTCTTTGACACTTCCCACTCTTCAAACCTGTTTGCTCATTTCCCAATATTTCT